CTGCCCACATACTGGAGGCAAGGATCCTTAGCCCACCCTGCTTCCCATGTTGCAGGCAGCAGTCAGACAAGAAACTGCTTTAGCCAAGGATGTCTTTTGTTGGACGAATGCAGACTGTACTGAGTAGCATGCAAGGCACTTACGCACTGGTGCATCCTCAGAGGGTGACTTCACATGCTGTATCCATCAGATGTCCCTGCGCCACAGCAGCAGTGAGCAAATGCTTTGTATGTCACAGCTGTGTGAGGAGAATGGGTGCTGCTCTTGGGACCTAATACTCACTAGAGACCTGCCCCTGTGGGATCCTGTTGTACTGAAGGCAGGCAGCAGCCAGCCTCTTGAGGGATCGGCAGTCGTGCCCATTCCTTGTCTTTTATTTCCTTCTCCTTTTTATTCCCTCATCCTAGTGACATACGAAGCTGAAGCCTCCAGCTCTGCCTGAGAGGTTGGAACATGCTGCTGTTGGCTACAAAGGACCAACTCACAGGATCATAATGAATTCTCATTTATTGTATGGGATGTGAAGTTACCAATAAAATCATAAGCACAAACTTTGAGTTATGAGGAGTCACCTTAACACATATACACACACATACACTCACTCATTCAAACCCATGTCATTCAAACCCATGTAGCACAGTGTATAGTAGCTGCTGTAGTGATTGTGAGAGCACTGGTGTTAGTATATCTCCCTGTCCAAGGCCCCGGAGCCTGCTGTCGATGGTCAGCTTCCTTCAAGGTGACGTCTTCTCCAGAAGGGGGTCACCTGCTTGTCCTTCTGTCTCGGTCGGTCAGGTGCTGGATGAGAGGGCATTACTGAGGGTCACGCTTCACTGCCTTTTATCCCTTTCTGGCAGACTTGTGTGATTCCCCAGCATCATCTTGGCTGCCCAGTCTGGAGGTCGCTGTCCCACGTGGGTCTTGAGTAGTGCATAGTCACAGGGGTCTCTGCCCGCTGGTACCTGAAGTTTCGGGAGTCCACCCTTGACTTACTGACTTAATGGCTGTATTGTTATGGGTTACAGGAATAGTCAATAGGGTGGGTGCTCAGTTCCAGGAATCAGTTCCTTGGCTTGATTAGCCTAAAATGGCTTATAGAGTAGAGTTTTGTAATGCTAAGTTTCTCTGGCTAGGTTATTGTCAATTAACAGCCAGAGGCTCTTGCTTTGTCTTCAGTTATCTACTGATTCATTATACATACTGGCATTCACTCAAGGGGGACCAGCCCAGTATAGCAGATTTTATCACTTTACAATTATAATTTCAGTGCAGTATTTTTAACAATGGTCCAGGGTGTAACTTCATTCTACAGGGCGTATATTCCTTAAGGGTTTAAAAGTATAAAATATGAAATACAAAATACCATGGTAAAGATGAGACAGATAAAATATAAGTATAAAAATGCACTGTGAGAAATATATAAAAATGCAACGTGAGGTAGCGAGGATCAAAGGCTACTGGGGACAGTAAGTGAGTTAGGTTCGCACCAGGATATATTTACAATCTTTGAAGACAATATTTTAGTTCTTTTGTTTCCTTTAGTGACACTGAGCTTAATTAATATGTAGATGTAGTTTGTAGGTTTTTCCTACAGTTTTCTGGCTTGCTCTGAGCCTTGCCACACCCATGCAATGAGTGTGCTAGGTCTCTGCCAATACTTAGAAGGAAAAAGAAGTGCACAAAATGGGGGGTGCAGGCAAGAAGGGGCTTCTTGTTACACTGCAACATGTCATACATGTTCCTCCCCCCCTAAATGAGTGCAGCCGGGTGCTGAGTCTGGTGTCTGGCTTCCCCACCCTCCAACATAATTGCTCATTTGTCAAACATCTGAATCACAGCACAGCAGCTCTTACCAGGCTGTGCCAGTTGCAGGGCACAATGCTGCAATATATGCCATTGTTGCGAGACCGAGTTCACCTAGCCTCTGTCAGTGGCCACGGCTGCTCAGACGATGCTGTCATTGTGTGCGTGGTTTGTAAGGTCAGAACTGATTTATTTGGAAACACAAAAGCGCTCTCCCTCTCCCTATGTCCCCCCCACCTCTTAATGATGGCTGGTTGAATACAGCTTGGAGCATTGCTCTCCACAAACCCTCGTGCCCAGACAGGAATGGAAATAATCTAGTTTTTAAACGTGAGCAGGAGAAGACGGTGATATGGGGCTCGCAGGATTGGAACTCAATGAGATGAAATTGTGCCACTTATGCAACTCTGGCCAGCTATTTCTGCAACCACGGGGCCAGCCCAGTGACATATTTGGTACTCTTTTGTCCTTGTCCTCATAATGTCCAACCATCTCACAGTCGTTAATGGATTTTATCCTCACAAGATCCCCGTGAAGTAAGGAATCATGGGCTTCCTTTACCAGCTGGAAAGCAGGGAGATGAAGAGCTCTCCTGCATCACTTCAGTGCTGTTCCCAGGAGCATGGCCACTGAGGACAGCCACTATACAAGTACCCACTGCTGAAAATGAAGTTAGGTTGCTGCTTTAGAGCGGCCCTGGCCACGTATCAGTACAAACACCCAAGGCAAAGGCATGAGGTCCCAGTGGCTCTAAAGCAGCTATGTTGCCCCATTTTTTGGGTGTTGCTGCAAGCTGAGGAGGGACACATGGGGCGGATGCTGTGCTTCCTGGTGTCAGGCCTGAGTGTGTTATGTAAGTGGTATATACCATGGGTAGGCAACTGCTAGCATGCATGCACATGAAGGCATTTTGCTTGGCTCGTGCACCTCAGGATAGATGGCAGGGAAGCCATGAGGGGCCTGATGTTTGTTGTGGCAGTGCCACCCCAGCCCCTTTCCATCATCCACCTTGGGGTACATGTGCATCCACCACCAGCAACAAGTCAGGCCGGGCTCCGCAAACCCTGCTTGCAGTCTTCCCATCACAGCTGCTTGCTGCTTCCCCTTCGCCTGCTGTGAGCAGCCCAGGCTCCATGGTGGGTGGTAAGGGCCTGCCTAGAGGTCAGGCTGGCTGTAGCAGGCAGCCAGGAGGCTGCAAGTGGCTGCACTGGGTCTGCAGAGCCCTAGTCCAGCTCATTGCTGGTGGTGGGATCACACGTGCCTCGAGGTAGACAGCAGAGAAGGGGCTGAGGCTGCGCTGCCACAACAAGAATCGAGCTCCTTGTGGTTTCCCTGCTGTCTGCCCCTGGCATGCCAACATCTTACAAGTCAAGGTTATGGGTGTTTTTGGCACTCTGCCCAAAAACATTGCCGACCCCTGGTGTAGACGTGGATGCTCTGAGTGATTTGGCCAAGGTCCTGCATAAGAAATCTGATTCAGAAACTAAGCTTGGGTCTCTTGAGACTCACTTTAATTTCCTATCCACTAAGATATCCTTCCGATCCAGCGGCTCAGGCTTTGTTCAAACATTAGGAACAAACTGTTCCAGCAGCAGCAGGGTCTAAACATGATAACAGTTGTTGTTTCTCTCCTTGCATGCCTAGGTACCACAATCAAGAATCAAGGCCGCACAGTGTCAGGTGCTGCATAGACAAATAACAAAATAATCCTTTGTTATCCAGGTGTCAGTTAGGATGTAACAGGTGGATGAAACAGGCAAACTAGGTGGGTAAGAGGGTGAGGTAGCATTAAATGTGAACAGGTTAACATAAAAACAAGTGTTGCTGAGTGCCATCTGCCTCACTGGTGCCAGGTGGTAGTGAATGGAAGTAAAAAGTTAAGAGGATGAGGTGATGGTCCTGAATTTTGGGCAGGAGTTAAGGAATAACTAACATGGTTGCATTTAATGTGGATCCTCAAGAAATCCATTTCTGCGCACTTGGAGGAGAAGAAGGTGATTAGGAACAGTCAGCATGGGCTCACCAAGGGCAAGTCATGCCTGACCAACCTGATTGTCTTCTATGACGAGGTGACTGGCTCTGTGGATGCGAGGAGACCGATGGGTGTGGTATACCTTGATTTAGCAAGGCTTTTGATATGGTCTCCTATAGCATTCTTGCAGACAAGCTAAAGAAGCATGGGCTGGATGAACTGGGCTGTAAGGTAGATAGAAAACTGGCTGGAGCATCAGGCTCAGCAAATCAATGGCTCGATGTCTAGCTGGCAGCTGGTATCAAGTGGAGTGCTCCAGGGGTTTGTCCTGGGGCCAGTTTTGTTCAATGTCTTCATCAATGACTTGGAAGATGGCATAGAGCGCACCCTAAGCAAGTCTGCAGATGACACCAAGCTGGGAGGAGCAGTAGATACGCTGGAGGGTAGGGCTAGGATTCAGAGTGACCTAGACATATTGGAGCATTGGACCAAAAGGAATCTCATGAGGTTCAACAAGGACAAATGCAAAGTCCTGCACTTAGGATGGAAGAATCCCATGTGGCCATGTGTCACAGGGTTTAGGCTCCTGGAAAGGAAGAGCAGCAGCTGAAGCCCACTTACCAAGTACCCTTTGCAGCAGCATCAAACTCAAAGCTTATAGGGTCTCCACAGGGCATGCACAAGGCAACCCTGGCTCAATAAAAGGACCACCCTCTGAATCATAGGAAAGGCCTTGTTCACTATATGGCTCTGTCTAGCACTGACTTTTTTGTTTAAAACTCCCACCGCTGCAGTACTAAGATTATCATAGAGAGATAAGGGAAGAAGCAGGGCAAGGCTTAAGGTCTTATGGCTGGAAGTCTAACCAGGAACACCACCAGGAATGGAGATTCTCTAGGCTTCTGTAGAGATTTTTCAATTGTCCATGTTTTTATGTTTTCCGTAATATTTAAGCTAAATCTCCAAGCTGCAGTGACTTTGATAAGTGCCATAAAGATCTATCCTTGACCAATGAAAATAGTTAATCCCATCCTCTTCACAACTTCTCTGTGGACAGATTATCAGCTGTGTCTGCCATCGGCTATATATTCTGCAGACTTGCCTTACCCACTTTCTTATCCTTCTATGATAATCCTATTTTATACTAGAGATTTATATTGAAGAAGTAAAAGAAGTATATGAGACCTGACCCCACTGTTAATTGTTTTTCCTTCTTGTTTTCCAGCCAAAGCTTTTGGCCAAGGAGCTGCTTGACCTGGTGGCATCTCATTTCAACCTGAAGGAGAAAGAATACTTTGGCATTGCATTCACGGATGAAACGTAAGTGCCATGGCGGAAAGCCCCGGGAAGCATAAAAAGCCTGCCTGCCCACCTTCCAGGCAGAAGGGCCAACACATAGGCCTGTGCACCATTTATGTCCCTAGCCCAGGCCTGGTGGGACATGGGGCTAATGTGAGACTAAGGTAGCATATGCATTAATCTCATTACTAGCCCTTTCATACAAGGTTGGGTGTCGCTTACTGTGAGTTAACTGTTGTCCGAGATGCAAGGAGACATGAGCAGTCCCTTCCTAGTCAGATGTTGACAGAGCCCTTGTCTTTGACATTGGCAGAAGGTCATCTTATGCTGTCTTGGTCTTCAAATCCAGTTGCCACTTCACAATCGTTACTGGTATGGCAGAACGGTATAATTAACATGTTAACAGGATTGTGCTCTCAGGCAGGTTTAATGCTAATGACAAATGAATAGAGGGACAGAGAAACATCTTTTTCAAATTACACTGGGTAATTTCAAGAACCGTTAGGTCCCAGATAAAGGAAAAGGGGAGGGGGAAGAGATGAAGAGCTCCAAAATTTAATATTAAGTCCAGACGTTTGTGAATAATAACATTTTGTGTAAAACAGGGATGTTGGGATTTGGCCTTCCCCAGCAGTTCTGTGACATTTTGTGATGGTGCTGGAGAACTGGCACATGTGGCAGACTCCTCACAGCTCTGTCAGCTGTCATTAGCGTGGTGTTTTATTTTCCACAACCTCTGTGGTTACATCAAAATCTCACCTTTCATTTTAAGGAAAGGAGGTTCGCAGCCCATGTAATTTTGGACACAACTCGAAAACAAGAGCTCTTAAGCTTCATAAGCCAGAAAGCAAATAAATACTTCATGCTGGGTTTGTCTACACATGCATTTACACCGACTTAAATTTACTGTGCAGTAAATTACTGTGCAGTAAGTGGGAGTAGGCCGGCGTCTACACATGCAGGTGTTAAAGCGCATTAACACTATGTGTGGACTGATTTGGGACTCAGGTTAGTCCCAAGTCAGTCCACAGACTCAGTGTTACTGTGCAGTAAGGTGTCTACACGTGCATTACTGCACAATAACTAATTGGGCGTGAATTTGATACCTGCGTGATGCTGAAGTCGGTGTAAGTCACCATATTTACTGTGCAGTATGAGCATGCCCATGTAGATGCGTGCCTGTACTATGCAGTAATTTTGGTTACTGGGCAGTAAATGTGCACATGTAGACGCACCCACTAGGTAGTCAGAGAGAGGCCATAACCACTGCTTAGCATATTATCTCCTTGTTAGCTTGTGTTCCCTGCCTCCCTCCGGCACCTCCCTGTGTTTTCTGCAGAATTAGATTGTAAAGGCCTCGGGGAAGAGACTGTGTCTTGGGTATGTGTTTGTATGTAGACGAGCGCAAACCTGATTTCTGATTGAGAAACCCCCTAGGTTTTACCACAAGACAAATAATAAAAAGGTACATGTATTATATATAATGTCATGATTTTTTTTGCCAATAGCATGGCTTGGGGTTGGCAAGCCTATTACCACTGACCAGCCCAATTTCACTATCCCAGGTGAAATGCTAAAAAGTGAGCAACATGAATAGTTTATTATATGATACAGGGGGAAGATAGTGTACACACACACATAACATAAGCATACACATACACATGCATGTAGGTGCACTGAGGTGGGTACATAGCACAGTACAGATCTGCCATCTTCTAGCCTGTCCCCCTGCCCAAGCCACCTCTCCATTATAAGAGAAGGAGCCCTCGTAGAGCACAGCTGTCTAGCTTGCATTGGAAACCAAATGGCTTGACTAGCAATGGGACGTTCATGCTTAAAGTGGTACATGTGCAAGATGGGACTGCCTATGAGAGGACCCAGAGTGCACAGCCGACAGGGAACCTCCTCAGCCTTGGACAGGTTTGTAGATGGAAAGTTACTGTGGCAAAAGGAGAGCCCTGTTCCCTGGGTGTTTTCTGTCAGCGTGTCATGCTGAGGGGAGCTCCGGCTGGGATCCGAGGCGGTGAGGCACTCTGTGCACGCTGCCTGAGGGTGAAACGGAGCCAGAGGCCCAGCTGTTTCCATTTGTTCTCAGCATAGTGACACTAGTTACAAAGGAAAATGCCCAGCAAGCCCATTGGCATGCAGCCAGCCCTACAAGAAAGTGGAGTCACATCATATACCCAAGAAGGTGGAAAAATAAAAGGCATTGTGAGCATGGAGAGGTGAGAAAGATGATGTGCTAGTGACCATGTTTAGTTCCAGAAGGGGCATTTACTTCAGATGCCCTGGGAAAAGTAGCTTAACAAAAACCACGTGGGAGTAAAGCTCTAGGGTAGAGAAATGCAAGAAACTGATAAAAGGTCAAAATGCTTGAAACTTTTGGTACCCAGATTGTAGCCGTATTGGTCTAGAGGAAAAGGCAATCAGGACTCGTGGCAGAGGGGTTATATTTTATTAGACCAACAAGATTTTTGCCAAACAAAAGTCTTTAATTGCAAGCTTTCGGGCACAAACACCCTTCGTCAGGCATTGGAGAACAGATTGTAAAAGTTCTCCTGGGTAGAAACTTTTGGAGCATCTGACATGCAAGTGGGATGGTCTGTTTGATCCCTGATAGAGACTGATGTACTGAGATCCTAGCCTAATCAGTAGGCCACTCACTGTCCCTCAGAAAATCCCAGATAATTTAAGTGAGGCTTTTGGACGACTACCGAAATTATCACTAGTAGATACAGCATATTTTCCCATCATCATCTTCAACAGAATTTTGTCCATACGTGACACAACCTGTGAAATATAGGAACTATTTTACGCAGTTGAACACATCCAACAAAGTAGTTAAGGCATTAGACCAGGACCTGGAAAGTCTGGGATCAATTCTTCACTCTTCCACAGACTTTCTGTTTGCCTTTTGGCAAGTCCTTCAATCTCCCTGTACTTGCATGTTCCACCTCTAAAATGAGGATCAGCTTTTTAAATAACATTTCTTCCCTACACTATTAATAATAGAAAAAGGATAGGAGGGCCTGTCTTTCACTACATGTCTGTAAAGCGCTTTGCACAATAGGGTAGTGGCATTGGTTGGGGACTTTAGGCAGCTTCTGGAATACTAATAGAAACGATTTAATTCAGAACGTTTCTGTGACACTACGGCAGGAGATTTATCTAGTTTTCCTCACAGATGCAATATCTCTGACTCTGGGTGCTCACGTCCTTGAGTGGAACTTGTATACACCAGCTAAGACAGAACAGGTCTCGTTCATAAATATATTCTGATCTTGGCTTAGCTGCAAGTTTGGAAAAAGAAAAAACCCACTGAAGTATTAAATCAATTCTTCAATTTAAGAGTAAAAGCTCTATGAGAGTAATTTATTTAAAAATGATTGGGACTGGGGATTTCCATTCATTAGTGCACTGTATCATGACAACCTGAGAAGAAAATCAATAGGAACAACCTTTGCGTTGGCGACTTAATAGCTTCTTGTGATAATATAGGGCCATTACTGCATTCAGCATGACTAAAATTAGATTGTGAGACTGTTATGGGGGAAAGAATAACGTGTCTTATTTTAATGATCATAGGAATGCGTTATAGCGTTAGCAATGAACTGAGGGGCCACAGGTCAAATGGTGACCTCTGTATGGCAGGGTGGATGCGTGGGGACAAATTCCCAACCCCTGCATAAATCCAGAGAATTAGGAATTAGCCTGATTGGAGAGGAATGGTGGCCTTATGATTGAGATGTGGGGAAATGGAGCAATTTTAACTCATCCAATTATGAATCTTCACTATCCCTTCTTCCTTCTGCCATCAATTTGGAAATATGTGGAAGTAAAATCAGTTTTGCAGTGGCTGAAATTCAACTTCTCTTCACCTCCCCAGGGATGTGCCCATGTCAAGGCTGTAAACAGGTCTGCTCCACCTTGTGCTCAGGATCAGGGATCATTCACCATCTGCCTTGCAAGCCCTGGGTTAATTTCTTCCTTCCCTGCTGTTCCCCTTTTCTTTCTTGCAGGGCCATTGATACCACTGGACTCTGGATGAAGCCTGCACTCTCTTTGCAGAGCTGATCCAGCAAAGCAGTCAAAGCCTCTTCAGCTAAGTTATGTAGGATAAAAATGTGCAAAGGATCGCTGCTTGAGCATCTGGGCATAACCCAACCCTCTAGGAAGAAATCATCTCAGCCATCCGGTCCTGACCAGTGTCAGAGCTGGATCTGGGGACTAAACTGCTGTTATTTATGTGACAGCACTGCTAGAGACTGTGCTATAAATCACATGGTAAGAAATGGCTCCTTCGCCAAAATCTAAAGTCTAACTGAGCAATACAAATGATAAGAGGGAAACAGAAAACCAGAAAGGTGGGCCGACTTGTGCAACGTCACTCAGCAAATCAGTAGTAGAGCCAAGAATAGGCCCAGATGACTCGATCTCAGTTTAGTGGCTTCTCCAATGGACTGTGATACATCTCTGTAATGAAGTACTGATCCATTTTAGCAATTCCTACATTACAATGAATGCCTGGGCCTTATGCTTCCTCCCAAAGGTATTTCCATTAAAGGGAAAGTTAATTTTAATGTGGGAAGGTTAAGAGACGGTTAATTTTAATGTGTTTTTTTTTCCTATAATAGTTGATGGAAGCTAGAATAATCCATATTTAATCCTTACTCAAAGAAAACAACAGGAGCTTGGTTTAGATGGGAGGTGAATCGGGCTATTAATCCAAGGATATCAAATATCTTTAAAAACACTAATACTTGTAGATATACTTATCAGAAAACTGGACACTAACTAGCAAATGTCTATATCCAAATCCACCTTGAGGCAGTGTGTTCATTGACATGCTGTTTTCTGCTGCACAGGGTGATAAGAGAAAACAGAAACTATTGCATACAATTGACAGCATTGAACCAATGAACCAGAAGCCATACCCAGCCTATGTAGTAAATGTAGCCAATTTCTGTTTGCTAAAAGCAATTACACATTTGTTATTGATCCAACAATTTAACTTCAACCTG